CCAGACATGTTCATTATATCTGCCTACTCAGACTTCTTTCTAGATGAAGCAACAAGACCAATTTCTCATGAACGAATAGCCATCTTTAATAATGCGAAGGGTTTAGGTCAGTGATTCTTAAGCTTTTATATCTGAGATCCAGTTATGCATGATCACTCCACAAAAGAATCTCCATATGACCATACTCAGAGTGGTTTTATATTAAAGAATTTTTCTTAGACCCATTAACAATAAGTTTTAGGGACATGCAATAGTAGTACTCTTAAAAACAGATTTAATTGCTGTGGCAATTAAATGCTCCAATTCTTAGTTACAATCATATTTTATTCCTTCAATAATCATAGAAAGAGGAGGTCATGAGAAATTATACTCGGACATTTAGGTAATATGCAGTTTTGTCGGTGTCATAGTAGACATATTTATGCATAAATCTTTGTCCAAGTTTCGATTATTTTCCTAGGGTAGATTCCTGAGTATGAGCAGGTATGAATATTGCCAGATGACTTTGTAGAAAGGCTGTATCGATATTATGTTCCTGTATTGCCTCCTGATGCCTGGCTTTCCATATTCTTAGCAACTTTAGGTATTTTTAATTTTAAGACTCCTGCAGCAGCACCTCATTTTATTTGGCACTTTTGTTTAAATATATCTATTAGTGATTTAAATTTTCTTCATGAATTGTATTTAGTTCTTTTGTTTATTTTTTATAAACTTTAAAAATATTTTAAGAACCAGCTGGCATTTTCCAGAGAATCATTCATCACTCTTAAACAAATAAATTTTTGCTACTCATTCTTCTGCAAACTCAAATTGCCCATATGAGAAAAAGAAATGACCAAATTGCCAATCGCTGTCTACAACTTGGACCCCATGCTTTTACTGTAGAGCAGGCTTTAATTGTTCTGCCTCCAGAGTGCCTTCTGAAGTATGGCAGAATTCACTAGGATATTAGTTAAACTGGCTTTGTATCCTTTAGTGTTGGCTGCACTGAAGGATGATTAAATCTTTGAAATGATTTCCAAGTTTCCACAGTAAATTTCATAAATGCAGAAAACACAAACACCAAAATTTAGCAGAAGCACAACTTGATTGCAGGTGATTACCTTTGTCATAATTATAGCTATAATAGTAATTTCCCTTAATTAAACACTTAGTTACACTTGTCATAATCTCTCTCTCTCTCTCTCTCTCTCTCTCTCTCTCTCTCTCTCTCCCGTTTGCATGTATATGTATTTATAGGTATATATGTAGTGTGCAAACATACCAAGAGAATCTTTTAAGATGCTAATCAGAGCTACTGATTTTTTTTCTTCCATTTACCTCCATCATATTTACCCTTTGAAAGTTTTCTCAAGATCAACAGTAGTTTATATGGAAAATCCTAGAAGCCTCTGTGCCTTACTGATAGATGTACAAAAACTTTTGCTACAATGATGCAAAGACTTTCTTACATCTAGTGAAAAGTAAACTATTGGATTTGGAGACTTGTGAAAGAACTAAATCAGTAGAGTCTTATAATTTCTAGTCTGCCTGATATTTGCTTCAAAATAATATACTCTGTTCTGAATATGATATCAGTAATCCACAGCTCATAGAAATATTTCTGTAAGCAGTCATTCATCTTTCCCTATAGAAGAATTGATAAAGTATCCTCTTGGAACATTTTCATATGAGCATAAGTCAATGTGGTTATGTTGGTTATCATGTGGCTTTAATAGCTTTCTAGTTTGCTTATTTTGATGATAATCTTGTCTTCCTCTCATCCTAGGAACACAACTTAATCATGTAATATCTTATAACTCACTGGTGAAAATGTCCATAAATGTAGAAATTAAAAGTCACAATATAGAGCCTTACCATCCAACTCAATTACAATATTCAGATTTCCCTCTTCTGGAGGTAGCTCTTCTCTGTTAAGTCACATTGCTTTCCTTCAGTATGGTAACAGGCACACAAATCATCCTCTTTTATCCATGGAACAGTTCTCAGCAGATCTGTTCTGTAGATTGAACTGCCCGATCTTGAAGAGATTCGTGCTGTAGCAATGGATCAAGGTCACTGCATTTTCAAAGCACTCCAGATAAGGATCTGTAGACTCTTTCAGTACAGCTGGATATGCTGGCGGCTGGTAACCTCATAAACCCAGCCTTCTCTTGATCTTGGCCAGTAGATATTCTAAGTCTTCTCTCATGAAAAAAAGAGTAAGAAAGGTTAGAGTGTTCTTTGACTAAGAGCTATTTATACTTGTAAAAATATGTTGAATGTTCAGTGATCAAGCATCCACAAGTTGTTCTCCAAGTATAATCTCAAGACCACAGGTGGATATAAAGAAATTAAATATGCTCATTTCTGTTCCCACTTATGTCCTATATAAATTATGAGATAGAGCAGAATTTGATATGTTGCTCAACTTTAGCCTAATTTCTTATGTCTGAAAATTTTAATTTGGAAGAAAATATATGTAAAACCTTTTCTATAACTTCTCATTTAATATTGTTTTATCATTTTAAGTTGAGCATAAAGTCAGAACAACCTAATAGTGACCACAAAATATTTTCAGTTAATTTAGCCCTGTTTGTGGTCAGATTTTGGCTTACTATCTTAATTCTTTGGTATTTGCAATATATTCAATATCAGAAATGGTACTGGCCCAAAACAAAACCAACCAACCAAACAATAGCAAACAGTTGTAATTCTGAGGGGAGTCAGGGTTATAATTCTTAGTTGGAACTGGTATCATACAACTTATCACCAAAGGAATAGCTATACAATTAGAAAAATTATTTTATAGTTTTCAGAAGGATCACTGAACAAGGCCATGCTATCAGCTGCTTTACACAAATACTGAATAACTTCCCTATTTCATATACAATAGTGTATGAGCTAACAAAACCAAAGACAATTTGATATGAACAATTTAATCTGAATAGTTTATTAGAAAAATGATACAAAGCTAATCATCTTGAAAATGTGAGTTTCTAGTCATTTTGCATAGATTTAGGATTACTGAAAGCAGTATATATTTCTATGATACGATTCACATGAAGATTTGAAATCACGAATGTAGAAGCGTTTTTAACATGTTTTAATTTTAGCATCTAATGTTAACTTTTTTTCCATTCACTTAATTTCAAGTTACTTATAAGAGAATTTCAAGGTTTGTATAAAGGAAGGCTAAACCAAATGGATTTTTAAAATTTAGTCAGCATCAATTGTTTTGAACTAAGCATTTTTGCTTATTTAGAGAAAATACAGAACTGAGAAATCTATAAAACTTTATAATTGAAGCTTCTCTTTAAATGAACTATTTTATGCTAAGTATTTCTCTATACTCATTAGGCGTCTCATCATTAGAGATAATGGAACTAAATAGTTATAACTTCACAGCTGCTTTGGTTAATGATGACTTGGACTAGAGTTTCATTGGGTAGGATTAACTGTGTTTAAAGATGGCAAAATGCCATTATAACGTAAATGCCAGAATTTAATGAGAACCAGAAGTTAACTTCAAGGACCTTTATAATTCAATATGGGGGCATGATCATGTCCTTGTTGTTTTAATGTAATGTCTTATTAAAAATAAGTTTATCCCTTATCTTTTTCCTTGTGATAATATTCTTTTCAAGACACCATTTATTGACTATGTGCTTGTCATGTCGCTGGAGTGTTAAGGAGTGAGATTGTTTCCAATTTTCAACCATCTCTGGTTTACTTAAATCAGCCTTCTCCATTGTCTGTGTTGTAATGAAAACGCCTAGGATATTGAATTTCATAGGTGTGGGAAGACTGAGAAGTATCAGTTAAATGTTCATCTGAATGTTCCATCCATAGCCTGATTGCTGTGATATCTACTTGCTAGCCCCTACAAAAAAACAATGTAAGCTCGGGGTACAATTGGAAGTGGGGCAGGTAGGAGGAGTATACTTGACAGAAAGATTACTTTTCTAGAGCAACCTTTCTATGCTGAGGGTGTCTAGTGGTGGCTTTTTGTAAAATATTAGGTTTGTGAAGCCCTTTTCTCTTCTAAAATGCCACAGTTCCTATGGGTTTGTAACCTAAAATTGTGATGAACACAAACCAAATGCTTCATGTTGCTTGTTCCTTTTTCTCATAACATTATGTATACATGTGTGCAAAGAAATGTTGAGAACTTCTAAAGTAAGATACAAATAATAACCACAAGATGGAAGGAGTAAAATATGGCCAAGGCAGAGGAGAAATTGCCTCCAACAACCTCCAATAGAGGAAAACCTCAACTATTTAGTTTGTGGTCCAGGCTCAATAGTGGCTAAGGCGAAGAAGAGAAATAGGATAATTCGTTGTGATTTTCTGGTAGTAAGACACATACCACCAGATTATCAGAACAAACATTCTTCTCATTATTAAGAACGGCTTGTCCAGGGAATTTGGATGAAAACCCATGAGACACGTAATGAATGAGCTCCTCATAAAATTTCATAGAAAATAAAATATAAAAGCACTGAACAGATGTCATCATTTCCTACACTGGTGTTTGGAGAACCTGGTGGGAATAACGTTAAAAGCAAGAACCCCTCCCCCTAAAGAGGCAGCTTGAAACCTCTGGTATATTTACTGTAGATAGATGCTTATTTTCTTTTGACCCATTGACATGTGGAGCAGTAGAAAGACGTAAAGATGTCTAGTAAAAGGTTGTATTGTTAAAAGTAGGAGGCGATAAATGGAATTTTTGTGGCAGGATGATATTTGAAAGACTGATCTGGCCTCTGGGAGGTTTTTAAATATGCCAGTTCCCTGTAACAGGAAGATCAGTCTCTGCACTGGACAGCATATCCAATTTGGTAAATTATTATTATTTCATCAAAATTAATGTGAACAATTTTCTCTTTGAGGGTGCTTTTTCCATAGGTGATGTTTTCCAGATGGGATTTTCACAAAATTCTCAATGTTTTATGTTTTCTTTCCTTGAGGAAGAGATTTTTCTGACCTCTCTCTGTTTCTCCTCCTTTCCCATATCGTAGGGAAAAGAACAGCAAAGGCAAAGGAGAAGAGAAACAAGAAGAGGAGGAGGAAGCTGATTGAAAGAGCACAGGAGCAGCACAGCGTCTTCCTGGCCACAGACAGAGCTAACCAATAAAATACAAGACACAGATGGTGGATTTTGAGGGGTTTGTTGTTGTTGTTGTTGTTGTTTATTTTGCAGAAGTGCACAATGTTGCTCTGCATTCCACACTGGTGTACAGCATTTCTGCTGCCCTGACCAGTATCCATGTCCAGTAACATTGTGAAGGGAGAAGCCCCAAACATGGATTCTGGATTATTTATGCTTTGATTTGAATCTGGAGCCTGTGATTGCAGAAGCTCTTTGACCTGAATCAGTGGGAGCTGAAGCATGTGCATGCCTATAATGAGCGCAGTGTGTCCTGAGAATCTGTCCCTGGCACAGTGGACCTGCAGGAGGAGTGAGGCTGTAGCTCACCACTGGAGAACACACTTGTGCCTACTTACATGAAAGAAAATGCTCAGCAGGCAAAGCGCTGTTCACTTGTGACTTTTATTTCTCACATTGTGCATTTTCAAAAAATAAGTGTATGTAAAAAAAAAATGCTTAGTGTTATCACATGGTATTCTTATCATCTGTGACCTTCAGCTATCCTGTGATGAAACTGCTTTTTCGCTGGGGATGTGCTATAGAAATTCCTTCTCAGTTTCAGCGTAGTGCTAACGTGTACAGATTCTGCCAGAGCTATGTTATAAAGCTCCTTACTGTATATTTATGCTTTCTTTGTATAACGAGTCATACCTTTTCAATATGATGTCACTTTCTAGTGGTTCTGAACCATCGTCTGGTAAATGGCTTTTCTAGTTTTACAAATTGATAAATGTTCTGTTGTGTCTCTCTCTCTTTTTTTTGGTGGGCATATTTGCCATTGTAAGTTTAGGATAAGCTAGCTTGTATATAGAGTCAGATGACTGATGTTAAAGTTTCAGTGCTGACAGACCTTCCCCAGTCCACATGTCACACGCACAGAGTATGCAGCTTGAGGCATCTGGCCATCAGAAGCCAAACTCCTTTTGAGTCCAAGATGTGATGACTTATGAAACACATGAGCACTTCTGTGCACTCACATATATTCATCACACAATTTCTGACTTCATTTATTTTCGAACTTAAAGTATTCCATGACTTTAATTGATGTCACCTGGCAATATTCTTGGGTCGCTGTGGAAGTTGCTACCCTGAATCCACGGAGAAAATTAAGAGGAAAATAGTATGTCTTCCAACTGAGGGTCACACCTTAACATTTCTCCATTGAGCCAGAGCCTGTACATCAGAACACAGAATGACATGATGGAAACTTCCCAGATGACTTACAGAGCCACTGTTTCAAAAACATTGTTCACTTGGGTCAATAGGTCCTTAGAATTATGAATTGGTGGGCTTCTAAACACATTATTTTCTTGGCTGATTCAAGAGAAAATTAGAACAAAAGAAATGGTTGAATTTTGGGGAAAAGGTAAAGCCTTTTCCCCACCTTGTGTTTGTCAAACTACCTCTTCAGCATTTTTCAAATGTTTGAATCAGAAACATCTTTCCAGTATGTATAGCTGTCATATGCATCATTCTGAAAATATTGCTATGTGATAAGCCATATATGAATGTTGTATTCAACTTTAGGGTTTGCACTTAATCCTAAAGTGTTCACCTCCCTTCCTGTCTGTTGACACTATACTATTTACTAAGTGTGAAGGGCTCTCCTTTATATACAGTGCTCCATTGTTAATAAGTCAGTGCTTGTTCCATTTCTGGGATGTTCTTTTTGTGCATTAAAAACTTAAAAATTACTTTTGTGGGCTTTTATTTTACTTTAAAAGTAAATTTAAGAAACAATGCTTTAACAATGCTGCCTCCTACCAGTGAGGCTTTAAAAAAAAGTGGAGATGTGGATATCTATATCTGCTGTACACATTTCACTAAAAATTATTGGACTGTGGTTGAAAATAGGAATTTCAGAGTCAGATTGCTTAAGTCCTTATCTAGTGTAAGTGGCGAGAGGCATACTATTTACTCTCTGTGGGTCTTCATTTCCTTATTTGTGAAATGTGGGTCATATTCTTATCTGCCTATATGTCTGTATGTTGAGAACTGCACTAATTAAGACATGTATGGCAGCCGTATCTACAAATTCTATAGTAGTGTGCTCAACCACAGAGAAAATATTTGAAAAACATTGCATCAATATTGAACATGTTTATTTGTCATTCCCTAAACAAGTTAACAACTCTGATCACATTTTAACACAGCATTTATGCATATTGGGCATTTTAAACCTAACGCATATGGGAAGATGCACCTACGATAGGTCATATGCAAACATAACACCATCTATGGGACCTGAGCATCTTTGTATTCATGAACTTTTAGAATTAATTCTATGAGAATATTAAGATAGCCTTAAAAACGGTCTTTAAGAATAGGGTTTTGGAGTGGCGAGATGGTTCAGCAGTTAAGAGCCCTGGCTGCTCTTGCAGAGGATCTGGGTTTGGTTCCAGTGCCCACATGGTGGTTAACAACTTTCCATTAACTCCAGTTCCAGGAGATCTGATACCCTGTTCTGGCCTCTGCAGGCATTTTATGACATGGATGCACTTACATACAGGCAGGCACTCACACAAAATATTTTTTAATTGGGTTTTATGTGTAAAGTATGATCGCCATAGTATAGCATTATTAACTACCATACAACTTTTGTTATTTAGTATTGCTTCCATTGGCTATTTAGATTATTTCAAAAATATTCTCATCAACAAAATAGAATATTAAGTAGCTCAGTGATAGAACACTTTGCTAGCATACATAAAGTCCCAGGTCCAGTCTCCCATACAGCAAATAAACAGGTAAAGGAACACATTCATGAAAGTATCAGTATGTTTCAATCTATTAATTGACTCTGACACATTAACTATTGTTCTTGAAGTTTATTTACATCTCCTTGATTCTAAGTTTCTTTGTTAAAAGCCACACACACCCAAATCTAAAATAAGCCACAACTGTATCCATCAGTTGGGGTGTAGTCAAGGAAATAAATCTAGGTCTTTTAAATGGATTCTAACATCAAGAATTTATTACACTTATTACACAGGTAATGAGTCAAAATGGGTTGCCAGGACAACCCAGAGATGAGCAATAGCAGCAAGCTACTATCATCTTAGAGTGAGAAAGATTACAGGAAAAGGTGGAATTTCCAGAAACCAGGTATCAAGGTCAGCCCTAAAGGATTAAAGCTATAGCTGAAGCCAGAGCTATATCCACAGGAGGCTGAAACCAAAGACCAGGAGTTTGTCTGGAAGCGGGTGAAATCACAGATAATTTGGTGGTTTTGAGGCATGTTATAAAGTGAGAGCAGAAATCCCCTTGTTTCCCCACTGCATCTCAGCATCCAAGAGAGTCTGCCATCATCCAGATCTGTTCTGGAATCTGTGAGCAAGGGATTCTGGGTAATATCATGTTCCATGATACAGAGGGTAGCAGAAATTAGTATTTGATCAGACAGCCATCAAGGCCTGCTTCCAAAACCCCTCTCCCACCTCCCTCCTTTAATAAATATGTTTACCTCCTTATATTTAGCATTTACTCCCATTGTTTCCTGAAGTTTATCAGTAACTAAATTCTCATGAGCCTATCTTGGGAAGGACTCTTAAACCTCTTTCCATTTCTTCCCTTTCTTTGTTCCAGGCCTTGTACTTTTTGGCTCTCTTCTGGACTGCCCCATTATTCCTAAACAGTCCTGTATCCAGTCTCATCCACGTCAGTTGCCCCTCTGTATTCTCACTACTTCATTTTTCTATTAACACATCTTTCCTGCTATTCTCTTGCTCAATAGCCTCCTGCTCCATATAGACTCTTAACATGTTTTCATATGTAATGATATGCCCTTTTAAAAACCTCTTCACCTAGATTGCTCAGAGTTTGAGAAAAGACTTGAATGAGTTAAGGAATTACTATAAAGATCTTCAAGGATTCCTTTATATTAAACTTGCACACGCTCAATGTCTTATTTGAAACCCTTGAATTATGAAGCTAGAAGTATAAAGACAGATGTCGCTTTAAAAGCAGAAGGTAACTATGTTAAATCAGAGTAAGGGGTTGGATGATCTGGAAATATCTGTTGAATAATGGTTTAAAGAGGTTCTGCAGTGAAGAATCATGGCAGCAAACTGCCACATGCCACCTTCCTCAGCTGTAGCAGACATTGTTGATCACACTCTGGACTCTTAAGGAAACATTCCTAATAGACTGACGTTGACAGAAGACTTTGGTCCATGTGCTGGGAAAAACCACTGGAAGGTTTAAACAGGGGAGAGATGTGCTCTGATTCCTGTGCTCTGTTCACTTCATCTTCTCTGTGGAGGGTAGGTTTTCAGAGGGAAAGAAAAGAGACAAGTTAGTAGGTTATTGCTGTAACCAGAGGAAAATTCATTAAGCATTAGTTAGTGAATCAGAGGAAAGGGAAAGAAGAGTGGCTAGATCCAGGACATGTTCTGGCAGAAGAATCCACAGAATTCCAATGTGGGATGAAGGAAAAAGGGGGACTACAGACTTTTTGGGGGGTTTCTTGTTCTGAGAAACAAGAATTTAGGGGAAGAATGGAGAGAAAAATCAGTCTACTTTTTATATGCCAAGTTTGAGGTGTCCATTAGATATTTAAGTGGATGTAGCAAGAAGGCAGCTGGTTAGAAATATGGACCAGAGGTTTCATAAACTTTCAAACAATACAGGCCATTGGTCTTGCTCACCAGATCTTGACAGTGAGACCCTATTGCTGAAGACACTATGTACATGAATCGTAGATCAGATAAGGAGAAAGCTGGTATGAGCTCAAAGCTTCAGCACTAAAGGATAGTTTTCATAGTTCTGGAAGGTACTATGTATGCTACCAGAAGAGAAAAATAATTATCAACCTGTCCAGCTGTTAAGTCCTGGAAGCTACAATAACAACTTATCTAGCAATATATGCCCACTGGTACAGTAGTGGCATGCATGTCATGGGAGCAATCAACCACTTTCTGATAGGATTTAAGGTCTGATTCACAAGACAGAGCCCATACCTGACAATGATACCAGATCAGGAACCTGTGGATAGATAGGTCATAGGCCTACTACTCTTATTCTGCTAAAAGGACATAGTACTAAAATGAGTCCTAATGATTTGTTATGTCCATAGATTAATGTGTCTCTCATCTCTCACCAGAGAAGCTTCCTCATACAGCAGATGATAATTAACACAGAGACTCACAACTGGTTAATGTGCAGAAAATAAGAGTCTGAAGAGTAGTTAGTCCTGAGTAAGACACCTCTAGAAACTGCTATCCCCCACGTCTCAGGACTCATTTCAGAGAAGGGGGCAGAAAGAGCATAAGAACAAGAGGTGGTGAATGACCAGAAGGAAACAGTTTTCCAGACATCTGGGAAGATGCTCAAATTAACTCACAGCAAAGTGACAGCATGCACAAGACCTGTGTAAGCTCAAGTCAGACAAAACCTAGCACAGAAGTGGGGAAGTGGGAA